AGTATTGAAATCTAGCAATTTAATGGCCAATTTTTAGAATGTATTGTTCAGTGAAAAATATCAGTAAACAAACAAACAAACTGGAAAGTCTCTGTGAGAGAAATTGCACTTACTTTCAGTCTTAAAGCCCTGCATAGAAAAAAAAACCAAACCAAAAATATTTGATTCTACACATAGAGACATGAAATATCCACATAAATATTTTTTAATAGTATGGATATAATTCCATCTATTATCACCACCACCATGGTTCATACACAGGAACAAAATCTGGTTGCCCATTTCATATTTAAATTCACATTACAACTATTTTCATTTGATTCATTCAGTGTGCTGGTATACATGCAAATACTAATAAGCAATCCATGGCTTTGGTAGCCAAGATTAGGATAATGTGCAAATGCAGGAATCTGGCTTCACCTATAAAGAACTCAGAGAAAAAGGGCTTACTTTGTTTCCCATTTGCTAATGCCCCTTTCTCTTAACTTCTTTTGAGAGGTTGAAACCAGAACTCTGCCTTCATATATCATACTACCCTTGACTAATCAAAGCATAGGTGATCTGCTAGTTTGGGTTTAATGTGATGTGCTCATTGCTTTTTATGTTATCACTTTAATTTATGCTTATTTTATTTATAATGTGCATTTATACTATGGATTTTATTGTTGTACTGTCAGCCAATGTTTTACAAGGAATATATTATGATGGGAGTGTAAAGGACTGTCCCAGCCTTAGTTTCATTAGGTTGATTCCTTGAATAGTCTTTCTGTGTTTACTTTCTGTGTATGAGAATTTTGTTTTATCATCAGCAACAAAAAATAAATCTGCACCATGAATGGATGCAGAAAATAAAGGAAGAATTTATACTGCAATCTCTTATATACGTCTAATCAGAATTAAACCCCGTTAAATTTAATCATACTTTGGAGCAAGTAAATACAGTAGCTGCATCTAGACCACACTTCTTACCTATGCCAAATGAGTACAATGTTTAGTGGGGGAAAGGTGTGGAAATACTCAATACAGAAAGAATGGGAGCATTTCCACACTCTGGTTCCTTATCTAGCATTCCAGTTCCATTGCTCAATCATAAATCTCCACACCTCATAGCCAGAAGTAGAAAAATCCTTTGCAAATTGGGAAATTGTCCTTTCAACTAAGCAACTCACCTTCAACACATCTTCCAACAGAGTATTTACAAGACAGCACTTTGCTGCATCCATCCAAGAAGTAAAGAGACAATTTTGCACCCTACCTCATCCTATCTCAATCAACACAACATTAAAAATGGAGAACATTCCTGGCCACCACTTCTTAATGAATCAGCATTATATAAGCAAAAAAATGACCCAATATCTACCTAGCATCTCAATGATGTGCTGCCATATTTCAGATGTTCAGCATAATATGATCTTGTTCCTGAATGAAAGTTCAGCCAAAAGCAGTATACTGATCTGCTCATCTATTATATTGCCATTCGTGCTAAATTCACAGGCAGTGTACCAGTGTAAAGTAGTCCCTTAAGACTACTTCAATTAAATTTGATGAAGTCAAAGACCATCTAAATTTAACAACAACAAAACTGGCTCATGGCTAGAATCACAGATGAATCACATGCTCACAAGAAGTCACAAAATCAATGGAACAGCGCAACAACTGAACTCATTCACAAAAATGTAATGAATATATATTTTGTATACAAAGAACAAAGTGATCTGGAAACCTCTGTTTGTAACATTGTTTCATGACTAACTGATACTTGGGTTGATTATCCTGATGGGGTGATAAGAACATTTTTTCAGAAAGAATCCATACTGTTTCTGGTTACTGAAAATCAATCTTGAAATATTTGGTTGCGCATTACACATCATTATCAATAGAATAATAAGAGGGACTATGACATGATACAAAAGTATAATAATATACTTTTTAAAAATAACTCTATTTTCCAAACATATTGAGGTTCCTGGGAACAGTTGTTCGAGCACAACTTTAGAAAGGCTATTTTATATGCCTGACATTTTCTTCCAGAATATATATTAATACATGGTATTCATTTTTGGCTGGAAGCATATTGCTTCTACAGTTATTTTTTATTTTACATCTTCTTTATGGAGATGTAATTTTTTTTCCAGAAAGTCTTTTGACACCGGTGACCATTGAGCTGCCCATTTATTTGTTTGTTTGCTTGCTTGTTTCCAACTCTTTTCTATAATGGAATGCCCTTGTTCAAAGTTCCTGATTAGAGTCTTAGAATACAAGTTTAATAAAATTGTCTTATGGTACAACATATTTGTTCAAGACACTTACCATTCTACTTTTCTGTGCGAGCTCAAAGGCACAATGGCGGAAAAGGACAATCTTCCCTAATTTTATCACAAAAATCCCAGGAGGAGGGAGATTGGGCTGAAATCGATTGGCCCCAAATTGCTCAGAGAATTCCACGGCTGAGTGGGAACATTGCCTTAACATGGGAACCCTGCCTTAATGAACAGCTGCTTGGGTTAATACTGTTTATGCTACCCACCCACAAACTGCTTATCTCCAGCTATGTGAATTGTGGTTTCCAGCAAGGCCACTGATGACAATGCGGAAAGAAATATAGGTCTTTAAGCACATACCGAGTAAAAAATACTAAATACTTAGCTGCATTCCATCCAGAGTGCATTGCTAGTCCATATTTCCAGACAGTTCTGGGTTTTAAAACACAGCTGTTTAAATCTGTGCTACAGATAAACTCTGGAATCATTTTCATCAGCAGTATGTGTTTTATTGAACAGTTAAAGCATTCATAAATGCAGGAAATTGACAAAATTAGTGGACCTGTGCTCTGGTAGTAAATGCTATTCATTTACTATCGCAACTTATCTCAATTGCACACTTTCTCATAAGTGTATAACAGATAACAAATAATCAGAGTTGGAAGGAACCTTGTAGGTCATCTAGTCCAACCCCTGCCCAAGAGGGAGACCCTACACCATTTCTGACAAATGGCAGTCCAATCTCTTCTTGAAAGTCTCAAGTGATGGCGCTCCCACAACATCCGAGGGCAAGATGTTCCATTGGTTGATTGTTCTCACTGTCAGAAAGTTTCTCCTTATTTCCAGGTTAAATCTCTCCTTGTTCAGTTTCCATCCATTATTCCTTGTCTGGTCTACAGGCGCTTTAGAAAATAGATTGACCTCTTCCTCTCTGTGGAAGTCCCTCAAATATTGGAAGATTGCTATCATGTCTCCCCTGGTCCTTCTAGACTAGCCAAGCCCAGTTCCTGTAACCATTCTTCATGTTTTAGTCTCCAGTCCCCTAATCATCCTGGTTGCTCTTCTCTGTACTTTTTCTAGAGTCTCAACAACTTTTTTATAATGTGGTGAACAAAACTAGATGCAGTACTCTAGGTGTGGTCTTACTAAGGCTTTATAGAGTGGTATTAGTACCTCCCTTGACCGTGATTGTATCTTAGGGGAAGAATTGTTTTGTGATCAGGTCGGGGTTTTTTTTTATGTCTGTTAGTACACCTTTCAACTCTCTGGCATGCTGGAAAGTTTAGCAGCCATTTTGCATATGTGAGATTTTTTTTTTCTTTTTAGTAAAAAGATAGGTTTTAATAAACCCATTTTTGGGGAGATACAGTGAACTGAAGACAATTTAACTAAAGCAGAGCTGATAACCACAGCAAAGACCAAACAACAGCTGAGAATGAATGAGAGGTTGCCCACTTGTTGCTCTGGACATCTGGTCCTTGCAAGGAGACTGCAAGTCCGCAATATTGTGCAGGTTTAAGAGCCGAGATCAATCAACTTGCTTACAACTACAGCAGAGTCTTTCAAATGACACCAAATTCAGAAAACTCACTTTCTAATCACTTTTGGAAATTGCCTATTAACCATCTTAAAGCTATTAGAGTTCAAAAAATATTCACCAGGCCTATTTAGCTTTAAAATAAAATTTACTTTTAAGCTTGAGAATATTTGAAATATTAAAATATTTGAAATAAACAGGAGAAAGCTGTTTAGCTTTTTGAGCAAAGAAAGTTATAAATGGATCAAGGGTCTAGAAAAATTTGGAATGATATAAGATATTGGTTCTTTTTTTTTTCCTATTCTTTTTTTCCTCTTAGTTTATATTAGATTTTACTATTGTAATTAATTTTATTTTATTTTATTAAAAACAACCCGTTTTATTATTTGTGCTTCCTCCCTCGAGCTAACAGGAAACCATGTTGATTTCTTGGGCAGTCTGATCAAAACAGATCTGGAATCCAGAAAAGACTGTTTGGGGGAATGGCATGTGGTTTCAAGACCACATACTGTATACTTCTAATGGAAAACAGGTGTTGGTATGTGGGCAAGAGCAATCCAACCAGACTGATCTGAATTTATCTAACCCTCACTCTTGATTCTGGGGAAGCAAATTAAGGTTTTCCTGTTACATCAGCATGGCAAGAAAGCTTGCATCAGGTGCTTATGGATGTTACGTCACAGGCATAAATCTTCTAGTCCAGTAGCCAGAGACATCGCGGACTTTCCTGGAAAGGTATTTCTGTCCTTTTTCAAGAGACATGTAGAAAGAGTTAAATTCGCTTGGCCTCTGGGGGCTGAGTAACACAAGGAGGGGATTATTTTGAAAGTCGGGGTGCTGTGAAAAAAACAGTGAGGTAAACACCCAGCAGATGGCGGTCAGGGAACCTCAATCCCGGCTTTGCTATGCTAGCTTAAAACAATAGAGGAAAACAGCTCTCCTGTGCGCGCGTGCCCATTGATTCCTCTCCCGCCCGTCCTTTGCCCCCTTTTTCCCCCCTCACACTTCCTCGGCCGCCGTTTGGATCGCGGGGAAAAACCGCGGGAGGGAAGGGGAAACAAAAACCACCAAAAACAACAACGACAACCCACGAGCGAAACAGGGTGGCAAGAGCCGTCCCCGCCTGCCATTAAGCAAAGGCTAGGGCATGCTCAGTAGGAGCCAACCTCGACTTGGGAGCAGCCTGTGAGTACACACCACCCGCCTGTCTCTTTCTTGCGTCAGATTAATGTTCCGGGGAGGGGTGGGTGGGGGGAGCCAAGAAGGAACCACGCTCGGTTTGTCCGGGGGAGGAGCGGAAAGGGCTGTTTGGGGGCGAAGGACTTGGCTCGGAGCGCCGAGCTGGCCCCCGTTGAGGCTTCTCTTTTGGAAACGTCGGTACACTTTGGAAGGTTCGCGGTTTCCTGCGGCGCCAAGGCGAGGCCCCGTGAGCCGGTTCTCGGAGGAGCAGCGGCTCCAGGAAGACGGGGGCTGTTGTTTTGAGTCCCGCTGGCGGGCCCCTGCGGGGTTTGGGTGAGCGATCCGCTCGGTGTCCGCAGTTCGATGGTTTGTTCCGACCGAAATGAGCCGCCCGTCCTCCGCCGGACCCAGCGCTAACAAACCTTGCGGCAAGCAGCAGCAGCAGCAGCAGCACCACCACACGCCATCGCCGGCTGCTGCTCCCGCCGCCAACCCCACCGCCGCGGCCGCCACCATCTCCGCTGCCGGAGCCGGCTCTTCCGCGGTCCCTGCCGCGGCCGCTGTGATCTCGAGCCCTGGAGCCGGGGAAAGCAGCGGGGGGCCGGTGTCGCCTCAGCACCACGAGCTGACCTCGCTCTTCGAGTGCCCGGTTTGCTTCGACTATGTGCTGCCCCCGATCCTGCAGTGCCAAGCCGGGCACTTGGTTTGCAACCAATGCCGGCAGAAGCTGAGCTGCTGCCCCACATGCAGGGGATCCTTGACCCCCAGCATCAGGAACTTAGCGATGGAGAAAGTGGCCTCGGCAGTCCTCTTCCCTTGCAAGGTAAGGCTGGTGGGAGAAATCGGCGGGCAATGCCACCGAGAAGGAAGGAAGGTGGGCGGGGAGAGGAGCGGCATGGAGCGACGGGGAGCGACGCTGTTGGTCTGAGCACCTGCCCTTGAGGTTGCGGCAGGGAATCGCACCGGTTTCTCTAATAGTGGCTTTATTTTTAAAAAAAAAAATCCCCCGGGTCGCCTTGAAATTGTAGCTCTTATTAGAAAAGTCTTGGGTTTCCCGTTCTCGGGGAAGGGACAGGGACCTCTCGCTCTCTAACACGTTCGTGAAAGTGAGGTGTAGCATATTTATATCTAGATCTAGGTCTATTCTTTCCCTGGCATTCATTCAGAGTAGCTCTTTCGCTTAACAATTGCGTTCTCTTTACTCTTCCTATTGGACTGGGCATCAGCATTTTTCTCGAAACGAAACGATCTGCTCAAGATTTCTGCTCACAAACCATCTGACCAGTGAGAAATGGTTGCTACTGCATTTTCTAGGGAAAGAGACTGAAATGGAGCTATAGGAAGGCAGGCACTGGATATAAATCTCCCCTGGACCACGGATGTAACCAAATAAAAATATTCCTGTCTCAGCTCTTGATCCTTCTTTTATAGGCTATTTAAAGTACTCTCTTAGATCAGCAAGTCCTCAAGCAGGTCGTCTTCAGTTATACTGGGGCTGCCTTTGGCCCTGGTTGTGAAGGGTTCCTGAAGTTGCAGACCTATTTACCTTTGAAGGATACCAAGTTACAGAATGCTGCCCTAAAGAATTGTTGTAAAAAGATTAAATTAAATGTATGTAAATACAGTAAGTAGTCTTGAGGACTTAAAAGAGTAGGGATGCTGTATAATCACTAACTTTATTTCATCGATCTTTACAGCAAACTTGTCTCCGTAGTTGGATTAGGCCGGGGAGGGAGGTGGGTGGAACCAGAACCTTACAGGTTTAGTACACCATAGTCTTTTTTAAAAGTTTGGTTCTTAAAGGTGGTATTGGCTGTTTTTCTCATCATTCCCCGCTCCAATGTTCCCCACAGTTCTTACAAAAGCTATAGTAAATCACTCTGAGATATAAATAGGAAATGTGAGGTTTCTTATAAAGCATCTCAGCCTAAATGAGAGACCCTGTGGATTAGTACTAATAAGGGAAATGGGGGGGGGAATGAACATTGCTAGTCCAGGAAAGAGGAAGTCTGGCTGATTTGGATAAGGTATGAAATCAGTCTTGGACAAGTTGCATTGCCATGGAAAGATCAGACTGAATGCTTTGTAGGCTCACTACAAAGAATTGCTGTGGCTAGAAAATATTTTTTGCAAGCTTCAGCTTGAACAGCAGTTGTGGCTCTGTGTGAAACAATTGAGCATGGCTTGGATAATATCTTCATTAATTACAAACCAGACAATAGCAAAGTATTTTAAGAGGCAGCGCCTGTGGAACTTCAAAGTGCAACTTTTCTGATGCTGGCAACTTACAAAAAGTTGGGAAACAATTCAGATTTCGTACCAACTGTACTTGATTCTAGTTCAGAAGTGCTATTGTAAATAAACGTGATCCCAAATGATTACAGGCAGGGCCATTTGTAAGCTATAATGTTTTCTTATATAATCTTGCCTATGCTTGCAGAATTGTGTAGTGCAGAGGTGTCTAATTCAAGCCTTCCGAGGGCCAAATCCAGCCCGCGGGGTGCTTAGATTTGGCCCACAGGGCTGTGCTGGAAATAGCAAAGGACCGGTCCACAGTGCCTCTGCTAGTGAAAATGGAACAGCCTTCCTGAGCTCCGTTTTCGCTGGCAGAGGGTTGCAGGAGGCCGTCACAGCCAAAAATGGAGCTCAGGAGCCCGTTTTCGATGGCAGAGCACTCAGCCCATCACATGTGTCCCCCCTCCCCCCGACACAAGTGATGTCATGCTGGCCACACACACCCCAAGGTCAAACACAACCCTGATGCGGCCCTCAGTGAAATTGAGTTTTGACACCTCTGGTGAAGAGGATACTTTATGGCTAAGATTTGTTAGATTGACATGGACAAGAAACAGTGTTGCAGCGATAACTGAAAAGGCCCTATGGTCTATCCCTTTCAGTTGAAATGTTAAGGGAGGGGCAAAAATATTTCTGTTTAAAACTTTCTCCAGTTAAATTCATAGTTAGCCTGCAAATTTAAAATTATTTTTCAAAACTTCCTTTATGTTGATGGGGCTATTGTCCAACAGAACTCTTCTTGATACATTGTTTGATGAAGTTGTAGCACTGAAAAGCCTCTAAAGCACTTTAAATAATAACATGAAATAAATGCTCCAGTTAGTGGAGGGTGGAGAGGAAATATTCTTAAATATCTGGGGAGCATCAGTGTTCAACAGCTACATAGTCATATGACTGGTAAAACAGGAATAAATTGAGCTATTCTAAAGTGCAGGTTCTCACCACTTTGTATTAAAAGCTTCTATAACAACAGTTCCGCGAAATGCATCATAGTTAATGGACGTCCTGCAGTAATTTAACTAGACACTTTTACAGACCCTCTTGGGATGATGCTAATTTCTATGCTGTAGTATTTAGTAGCATAATGTAATATATCATTACAGGGTCTTCTTTTAAGCAATCTCTATCCACCTGGTGACATACATACATGTGAGTATATCCATTGGCCATTTTAGCTAGAAAAAAATGTGCATAGTGATTTATATCTGATTATTTCTTAGTTGGGGGAGGTTGCTTTAAGTTGTTTGTGGCCTGAAGGAGTCCTGTCTGGATTTTTCTTCCTTTTAGTTTACTATTTAATATTCCCTACATCTTAGGAATCTTTCTTTCTCAAATCTTTATCAGATATTTATTTTATTTATTTATTTATTTTATTTATTTGATTTGCCAATTGTTTACAAGATAATAAGTATAAGTGTATACATAGTTGTGAATACATGAAATGGGTACATATAAGAAAAATAAAAGAAGAATAAGAGAAACAATAGGACAGGGACGGTAGGCACGTTGGTGCGCTTATGCACGCCCCCTACAGACCTCTTAGGAAAGGGGTGAGGTCAATAGTAGACAGTCTAAGGTTAAAGTTTTTGGGGTTTGGGGAAGAAACTACAGAGTCGGGTAGAGTATTCCAGACATTGACCACTCTATTGCTGAAGTCGTATTTCCTGCAATCAAGTTTGGTGCGGTTAACTTTGAGTTTGTATCTATTGTGTGCTCTTGTGTTGTTATGGTTGAAGCTGAAGTATTCATTGACAGGTAGGACATTGCAATGTATGATTTTATATACCATGCTTAAATCAGACCGAAGACGGCGTAATTCAAGGTTTTCTAGTTCTAGAATTTCAAGTCTGGTGGCATAAGGTATTCTACAACGAGTAGAGGAGTGGAGAACTCTTCTTGTGAAATATTTCTGGACTTTCTCAATTGTGCTAATATCAGATACGTAATGTGGGTTCCAGACTGATGAACTGTATTCGAGTATTGGTCTAGCAAATGTTTTGTATGCTCTGGTTAGTAGTGTGATATTACCAGAGAAAAAGCTACGTAGGATTAGGTTAACAACTCTTAATGCCTTTTTGGCTATGTAGTTGCAGTGGGCTCTACCACTTAGATCATTAGAGGTGAGTATTCCAAGGTCCTTTACAGAGCTTG